GTGCGCGCACGCGCGCATCTGTGGTAGGGCAGAAATTGGAGCTAGAATGTTAGGTAAGAGAGCCATGTCATCAGTGAGACTATATTAAAGTGTCCGAGCCTTATCCACAGGATGATGTGGAGCCATCATAGTGTCTTCCGCACACAAATGACAGAAGCAGATTCCAGGAAGATTCCTGGAAGAACCCTGTGGGTGGAGGGTAGAGAAAAGGTTGAAAAGGATCAGCCAGAGCACAGAAGGGCAGTTGGGAATCTGATCTAAGTAATCCAAAGGCTAACATTTGCAAATTATATACAATGATTCTAAAATCCAATTGGAAGGATAAATGAATAACAATAGGCATACCTCCTTCCTAACCCTTCACCCCATCCCAACTAAGATATCTAGTATAATTAAAATATACCATGACAATAGTACAGAAATAATGCAGATGAATAAATGGAACAAAAAGACCAGAAGTAAGCCTAAGTATATATAATTAAGGTTATTATAAAGGAAGCAAGTGGAATTTATTTTTAAAAAACAAGTAATAACAAAGTATATTCTAGACAAAGATTTAAATACACACAAAAAAGTAAAGGCAATTCATAAAAGAAAAGCAGATGCAAAATAAACACAGATACCAATTATTACCCAGCAGATTAGCAAGGATTAAAGAAATTCATAATATCCAGGGGCACTGAGATTATGGAGGAATAAGGACCCTTCACTACATTGGTAGGAGTGTTTAAACAGGCACGTCCTTTCTGGAAGACAGTTTAACAAAATGAACTAAAACTTCTAAAATGTGCTTTCTGTTTTACCCAGAAACTGTATTCCTAGAAATGCATCCTAAGGAAAGAACTAGACAGCTACCCAAAGATGTACGTATCACAGTGGCAATAATAACATTCTGCATAATAAATATATTAGTGATAACCAAAATGCCTTGATAGAGACAATGAAATATTATAGAACCACTTAATGTAAGGATACAGAACTACTTTAACAACGTGAAATGATAGCCACAAATATCAGTACATAAATAAACAAGGTTATGGCATAGTGGGGATAGTATAATTCTGAAATATGTATTTGCATGGAAAAAGGGGAATTTTATATAGAATCATTAATAATAGTTTGGTGTTAAGAATTATGATTAGTTTTGGTATTATTATTATTATTTAGTATTAATTTGAAGTAGAGTCTTGCTTTGTCACCCAGGCTCTTAGCTTGCTGCAGCCTCCACCTCCCTGGCTCAAGTGATCCTCCCACCTCAGCCTCCCTAGTAGCTGAGACTACAAGTGTGCACCGTCATGCCCAGCTAATTTTTAAATTTTTTGTAAAGATAGGGGTCTCACTATATGCCCAGCTGGTCTTGAACCCCTGGACTCAAGCAATCCTCCTGCCTCATCCTCCAAAATGCTGGGATTACAGGTGTGAGCCACTATGCCTGGAATGGTTTCTGCTTTATCCTTATGTATTTTCTGAAATTTTCTTGCCATATATATTAGTCCATTTTCATACTGCTGTTATAGACATATCTGAGACTAGGACGATAAAGAGGTTTAATTGGACTTACATCCTACATGGCTCCAGAGGCCTCAGAATCATGGTGGGAGGCAAAAGGCACTTCTTACATGGCAGCAGCAAGAGAAAAATGAGGAAGATAGAGAAGCAGAAACCCTTGATAAATCCATCAGATCTCATGAGACTTAATCTCTACCATGAGAACAGTGTGGGGGTAACTGAACCCATGATTCAAATGATCTCCCACCGGGTGCCTCCCACAACACATGGTAGTTATAGGAGTACAATTCACGATGAGATGTGGGTGGGGACACAGGGCCAAACCATATTACCATGAGTACATACTACTCTTATAATCAGGAAAAACATAGAGACTCCATTTTTCCTTTTGTAAAGAAGTGCCAAGAATAACATTGATGGTGGAGTTAATAACTCCAGAGAAACCAGGGAAAGAGCAATTGCCTGTATCACATTTCAGGCCATTAGCAAGTGTCTGCTCCACAGCCTCTTCTCTGTGGAGCCAAAAGAAAAACAGATACAGAAAAACTCCTTCTACCACCAAACCTCAAAAGAGGATTGAAAATCCTTGTCAGGAAAACCACCAGTATTATTCAATAAATTACAACATATTTTGCACTTCAATTGCACAGATATAGACATTTCACACTCGATCTCCATATCACACCTCTGCATTTATCAAACCATGTCAAATATTATAACCAGATAACTCAGCATAAAGAAACACAATTTTATCTTATGTTGGACTATATCTGACTTGCAAGAATTCTCATTTATTCATTTAATTCTGTTTTTGCAATTATGAAACAATAAAAAGCTGTTTCATCTATTTTAATGTTGTATATCAAGTAGGGGAATAATATACTATGGTAAATGTTTTCATAATAGTCTAAAATCAGTAGCAATATATGCCACTTTGGTTTTGTAATATATAGTTTTTCCATACTCTTGTTTACATTAGCATACAGCCTTTAAAAGATGAAGTTTAGTGGAAGAGCAGGCATTTTTACTGGTAGTAATGGTATTTCTACTAATATAGATGAGTTATCAGATGAATTTATTTCCCCAATGGCTTTATGGTCAATCAACCACAAATTCAGATTCATACCCAGTTTTAGTTGTATAATGGTATTTTTTCAACTTCTACAAATCACACTTTTTAAATGAGAAATATTGAAATACTGGAGTGGACTAATTGAATTTTTCTGCCATTTGCATAGTATAGAGTTTTTAAATTATGGAGCTCATATAGTACAATCTCCTCATCTTATTGACAAGGAAACGAAAGCCCAGAGAAAGTAAGCAGCAATTCTCGTATCCTAACATCATTAACAGACTGGAAACCAGACCTTAAATCACCTGATCTCTATTACAGTGTTTTCTTCATTGCTCTACAGAAAGTCTGAGGACCTTATATGTGCAACAATTTACAGAACGTTCTCTCATTCATTGAGGACGTATTATCACTTACCATAATAACCATGTGAAGTGAGCATTATTATTATTCTTTTTACAAAGAGATAACTTTGGCTTTGAGAATTTAAGTGAACTTCGTAACACTTTTAGTCATGAAGTCCAATGCTTTAGATTTCAAAGCCGGAGCTTTGCCATTCAAATCAATGCTGGGATGTGTTTTCTGTAATTAACTCCCAATTAAAAGCAATCCATTGCCAGAAAAGTTTTGGAAGTATAAAACTACATAAGAATCTTATAAAAAGATTCATGAATTTCAAGACAATTGTTTTCTAAAGAAAAAATTTTTTAGAATATATTTCTTCTCAAAGCATCAGCTTTCTATAGATAATTAAAAATTGAACTCAGAGAATAATGAAAGCTTACCACTATTTGACTTAGCAAGAAATTCCAGAGGACTCTGATCCAGGTTAACCTTTGTATCATTAATATCAGCAGGCTCATAGCTTAAGTGAAAATCATCAATGTAAGCATCTAAGGCTTCAGAGGCAGAGAAATACAGCTTTTCTTTATACTGTATGGAGCCATCAGTATTAAAGGATATGTTGTTCAGTATTAAAGTTGCTGGAAGATAAGATTCAGAAGTGTTAAACTGATGTTTCTTAACTGACTCTGCCATGGCTTTCTCAAAATGGGCCACAATGTCCATTCATCTTTCAAGAAATTCTAAATACAAAGAAAGGTATGTAATATTTCAGTTAAGTAGAAATGGATAATACTCATGAAATCCTTGCTAATCTTTCAGGTGTAATTACTTATTACAAATGAAATTACTCTATCTCTCTTTATGTTTTATGTATACTTGACTTTCAAGAATGTTCATGGACTAATAGATGATCAGTTTCATTGGCATGACTGCAGGTATAAACCATGTTTCAGAAATATATTTGGGAGAAGGTCAGGCGTAGTGGCTCACGACTGTAATCCCAGCACTTTGAGAGGCCAAGGCGGGTGGAACACTTCAGGTCAGGAGTTCAGACCAGCCTGGCCAACATGGCAAAACTCTGTCTCTGTCTCCACTAAAAATACAAAATAGCTGGGCATGGTGGCATGTATGCCTGTAGTCCCAGCGACTTGGGAGGCTGAGGCGGGAGAATTGCTTGAAGCCGGAACATAGCCTTGCTAGGTGAAGCATATAATAGAGGTACTGCTTTCCTTTTCAGTTTTACTTGATTAAACAAGTGTTCTGGAATCTTGAGATATTTTTATTTGCTACATTAAAACAGGGCAATCCTCCAGTATCACATCCTAGTTTTTTCATTCCCTTTGCCTGTCCCCAGACCATAGATGGGACAAGGAAAGCCACATATAAATTCAAGATGAAAGAAGGGGGCCCTGGCACAACAGTGATGGCAAACAGAGACCAGGTAGCAAGAAGAGGTGAGTGCTGAAAGGAACAGAATTCAGGGGAGAGGGTGTCCTCTGATGGGCTACTCTGGCCTTAGCACAGGAGTTCAGCAGCCATAGACCTCTTTATTCTCACCTTATATCAATCACTTACTCTTAAAGGTTGGTACAATTAGTACTCTCATTTTCCAGATGAAAAAGTGGTGGTACACAGAGATTAAGTGACCTGTCCAAAGCTACAGACTAGGGAAGCAACAGCCAGGCTGAACTCCAGCAAAGGATTCCGACCCTGAACTTACCGTTGTGCTACAGTCCCGCCTCATGTGTGCGGGAACTGCCCAGATGACCTGTGATCTCTACACATTCACCACAAGTAGCATGCATCAATGTCTGCCAAAATTGGGCGCTGAGGTTCTGTGGTCTCTAATTTTTCCAATATACATAGAGTATTCATTGGTAAGTGTGGAGCAAAACGCCATTCATGTGATAATAACATACGCATAAGTACCAAGAGTAAATACTTACTTTATCAGTCCTTTGGAATTTAGGTGGACATGTTGTACTTTCAGAATGTTACATTATACGACATCATAATACCTAAAATTTGCATCTGTGGAATATTTTTTAGTTTCTTCTAATGTACAAAAGTTTTTGAGAACCAGAAGAAAATTGTGACTCACCTTCCTGCAAGAACGCACTTTATCAGACAGAGGCAATGGGTTCCAGGATTCCTGAGACTTGCTCACGGTCCCACTGCATCTGAATTCTAGACTAAGAATTTTTGTCTAAAGAAACTGACAGAAGTGAAAAGAAAGGAAGAGAAAGAAGTCTAACAAGGATAAAAGAAAAACAGGAAGATCCTTTACAGGGATGGAACGAACCAATCTGATGTCACATATTCTTAAGAGATATAATGGTAAAAAATCTTTTGACTTTAGAGGCCCTGTTCAAAAGGTACTTTGTAAATCATGATCGTCTCCTTCCTCCTCCTCCTCTGGATTTGTCAGTATGAATTAGTTACTATTACAGATCAAAGACAATGGGCTTTGGAACTAAAGAGACCTGGGTTAAGTTCAGTTTGTCTACTAGCTGTGGGCCCTAATCCCCTTCTCTACTATGTAATTCCTGTATTTTAAATTCTGCTTAATAATCCTTAGGCCTTGCAGAGTAACTGGCTATGTTTGATTTGCTGGTGCTTTGCACTAGCATGGCCATTTCAGGGGTAAGATATTGGAATACTTTGAAAATAGTTGCTAAAGCTGCTTCCCTCCACCCTCTCTCCCGCTTCCCATCACCAGTGCCTTCCTGCTACCCGGGCCCTGGCCAACCTCACCAGAAGCCTTCAGACCTGCTCATGACCCAGCAACTTAAGGGGCACCATCTGACTTCACAGATCCTCCTCCCAGCTATGGCTCCTGTCCATTCTGTCTGGTTGGTGCCTGGCCATACAGATTAAGTGTTTTGAATATCATCCCAGAGGGGCCGTGGTATGCAGTTAAGTGTTTTTCCCTTACTCATCCTTTAGTGCTTTGCCTTTCTCTATTCTGCATATGTATCATGATTTGACCAAATGATCACTGAGAATATGGCTTCTTTCTTCTCTAAGCTCCAACAAAATAAGGAATAGATGTAATCTATAGCTTCCAGCTTACGACAGTTGCTTTATAAATGTTTGCTGAATTTAACTTCAGCCAAAATACTCCATTCACCATAAAGCATTCCAGTGACTGGTGCAGTTGGTAAAAATGTTCTGAAAGATGGAGTCTGCTGGGTTTATTGGTAGCTGCTGGAAGCAACAAAATAGGCAACTAGAGCAATATATTCAGATCACCAATTTAATCAGATAATGGCTGAATGCACAGCAAGTGGGAATTTGATGAGAGAGTCGGTGAGATTATCATTCATGTTAGTAATATTTTTGAGGCTCACTGCTGGCAAACCTTTAACACCAGACTGACCACTATATTTCCACAACTCACAGTCCAATTTTAACTGGAGATTTAAAGATGATTTCTATATCCACTTAGTTGCATGAACAAGACTATAAAGAAAAGTTGATAAACATTTCTAAAACAATCTAGAAAATCAATGTGTAAGATATGCCAGTGCTCCTGATAATTGTACACTATAAACAAGTTTATTTTGTGACTTTCCTTTTATCACATATGTGGGAAAATGTAAATTCATTGTCATGGCTTTTCACTATATAGGCTCATAAGGGGCTAAGCAAAGAAGAAAGTGAATGTTCTTGTAGTTTAAAAAGCAAGAAAACCATATGCAATAGCTTTAAAAAAGGGGAAAAAATCAATATATTTCCTAACTGTAAATCAAATAAAATTGCAGATTGTTTGGATATTTTCCCTAGCAATTTCATGTTTGAAGTTGGTCTGGCTTGATTCTCTTTGATAGTATTTTGAACAATGTATTTATCCTATAAAATCCTCAGGGTACATGCATCTACCAGAAGGCAACCCAATTCCTGAAGAATAGACAATATTTCAAGTAGGAAGACTAGAGAAAGCCATCAGCTCTGTATCCCTTATAACCTTAGGCTAAATAAAACTCGGTCAAATAAGCGGAGTCCCTCAAGCCTGGGCAGAAAAAAATGTCCAGAGATTTGTACTAAGTTCAGTTTCTCTCTCTCATTCAATTCAATTAAACATACAATTATTGACTGCCAATGTGCAAGGAACCATGCTAAGCACCATATAGGGATACAGTGATGGGGCAGGCATTACTTCCCTCACAAGGAGCTTGTAGCCCAGTAGGAAAGATAAAAGCAGCACATAAATGAATGTAACCCAAGGAAAGGCATGCTAAATGCCATCGAGCATCTCCAAGAGTGGCTGAAACACAGAGAAGAGAGAAATTACTTGTTTGATAAAAATGGGGCAAGTTTCATTTTAGACAGCATAGGTAAACAAGGACATGAAAAAGAGGTAAGTTTCAGACACATGGAAATGAAGAAAATGGATATGTCAGGAAGAAGAAACACAATCAAAGAAATTAAATAGTATAAATAGTAAAACCACACACATATGTATATTAGATTTCCCTGGGTTCCTTTTCTTCTCTGGAAGAGGCGGCTGGAAATTCTCTGTTATGAACCAAAGTGGTGAGTTTTAGGGTTAGGTATTATATCTACTCTACAGAAAGGGTAAACAGAGCCTCTGAAAGTTTGTAAAGATTCTAGGAGAATATGTCTAGCGAGTGATAGAGATTCCCAGTACACCACAATGCCCACTTAGCCTGTCTTCTCCAACAGCAGCTGAATGAAGCCAGTGCCATCTCCATTGTCCACTTCCTTCCAAATGCCCAGCGGTGGGTAGCTCCCCATTCAAGTGAGGGCATCCCATCCCACCTGTTCAGTTCTCAGAAATCTCTGCCTCAGTTTAAGACATTGATAGAAGAATACTTTAAAAAGTCTATTTGGGTCATCTGCCAATGGGATCTCATGGGCCCGTCTATCTATCTGTATGTCAGGCTGCTTGGGGAAGACATGCAGCACCAATAAAAATCTTGTGAGCTTTTTCCAAAGAAATTAGTAAGCAAATAAAGTATATTTTATGAGACAGATAGTATCTTAAGTATTCTCAGTCTGACTCAAGAAATTATGAGCCCTCAAAAATCAAGCTGTGAGCATGTCATGTTATGGAATTTGAATTTTTGTAGAATATGGTAAGATAGTTGCGTACGTTTTCTCAGTAGAAAATACCTAACGGAAACATCTCACACATTTTCTTAATCACCAGACACTGTGACCAATAATACCTTCTTTGAAGATAGCTTACACATGCTGGTCACTATGATTAACTATCAGCATTTAGACCATTAGCTGATCTTAATGGTCAAAAATGAGCAATAGAAGAAACCGGTGTTTGAAACGCACAGGGCATAGGAATGGGAAACCCTATACTCTTGAGGGTTCAACTCTTCCTTCAAATTACTACATCTCATTTATTCAACAAATCTTTACTGTCAATGTAGAAAGGTAATAAATGGCAGAGGTTAGGAGTCTGGCTCTGACACCACACTAACCAGCTTCAAAACGAGCAGCACCACCTTGGGCAAACTACTTAACTTCCCTTTCCCTAAATTGCTTCATCTCTAAAATGGTCATGGTAAAAATGCCCAACTCACAGCACTGCTATAAGGACTAAAAGGGTTAATATGAGTAAAACAGTTAAGACAATATGTACATAGTACTAATGTACATAGTAATTATTGTTGCCTGCTATAACCCCGATGATGTGCCAGCTCCTCCTATCAGAACATTCATTTCCTATCATGATGCATGGTATTTTTGGTTTTAGGGAACTCCACCCTGCCTAGTCAACAGGTGGTATAGCAACCCTGGAAAATTAAGCACCAATAAAATAAACTTAGAATTTCATTCACTTTATCCATTTATCTCCTTAAATTTACATTCCATAGATGAAGGGATTATCCTAACACAGAATCGATACTTGGTTTATTTCACACACCGGAATCATCTGTAGAGCCCAGGAAAGCCTGAGGCTGGAGGAGAGGCATCAGCAAAAATGAAACTATTTCCTAAATCTTAAGCTTTGAGAGCTAGTGTGTTATGCTCTAGGGACTGCTTTTCTCCCAATGCCATTTAGCTTTCCCCTCCCAACATTCTCAATTCCTCTTTAATTCCAAATCAAAATACTCACAATTGTTCTTTAACGTAGATATGAGCACTTCAGTAAAAATAGCTGCTGAAAGACTTTAAAAGATTTTATTCACTTTAATACACCATGACTAATTGGGGAAAAGAGTAAACAAGCACATTAGGATTATGTCCGCAGGCCTATAACTGTTTCCCGGCACACTGGCAACATGTTAAGCAGAATTTTACAATACTGGGTAATGAGAAAAAAAATTCATTTGCTTGGTGAAAATCTCTATGGACCTAATTTTAAGGAGGAGGAAGGGGAGCTTTTATTCATTTTTTTCTAAACTAAATAATATCATCCATCACTTCTAAATACATTTTTTTAATTAAGAAAAAAAATACTAGAATGAAGAAGGGACCACATGAGCTGCCCAGATCCATTTCCTACCGTAAAGTACATCACATTTTGAGAGTTTTCTCAGTGGAGGTTGTGGCATCTAGAAATACTTGCGAGAAAAATTTAAATACTGGAGGCAAAGGGGGTTTGGAGTATGTCAAAATTTAATGGAAGAAAAGCATTCTGCCTTTTGGGAAAGGTGATTCTTCTTAATGAAAAATCAAATGGCTTGAAACAAATTCTTATTTCACTACATCCCTAGGCAAAGTCCTATAGTAGATGCTATGGGAGTGAAATGGGTTGGCTGTGTCCCCACCAAAATCTCATCTCAAATTATAATCCCCAGATGTAGAGGAAGGGCTCTCTTAGGAGGTGACTGAATCATGGGGGTGGTTTCCCCTGTGCTGTTCTCCTGATAGTGAGTTCTCATGGGATCTGATGGTTTCATACACGGCAGTTTCCTCTGGGCTTTTCTTTCTGAACTGTTGCCATCTAAAACATGCCTGCTTCCCCTTCCACCATGAAAAGCTTCCTGAGGCCTCCCCAGCCATACGGAACTGTGAGGCAATTAAACCTCTTTCCTTTATAAATTACGCAGTCTTGGGTATTTCCTTCCTTCCTTCCTTCCTTCCTTCCTTCCTTCCTTCCTTCCTTCCTTCCTTCCTTCCTTCCTTCCTTCCTTCTTTCCTTCCTTCTTTCTCCTTCCTTCCTTCCCTCCTTCCTTCCTTCCCTCCTTCCCTCCTTCCCTCCTTCCCTCCTTCCCTCCTTCCCTCCTTCCCTCCTTCCTTCCTTCCTTCCTTCCTTCCTTCCTTCCTTCCTTCCTTCCTTCCTTCCTTCCTTTCTTCCTTTCTTTCTTTCTTTTTTTGAGATAGAGTTTCATTCTTGTTGTCCAGGCTAAAGTACAATGGTGTGATCTTGGCTCAGACTCACTGTAACCTCCACCTGCTGGGTTCAAGTGACTTCCCTGCCTCAGCATCCCAAGTAGCTGGGATTACAGGCATGTACCACCATGCCTGACTAATTTTGTATTTTTAGTAGAGACGGGGTTTCTCCAGGTGGCTCAGGCTGGTCTTGAACCCCTGACCTCAAGTGATCTGCCCGTCTCTGCCTCTCAAAGTGCTGGGATTACAGGCGTGAGCCACTGCGCCTGGCAGTCTTGGGTATTTCTTCATAGCAGTGTGAATGTTGACTAATGCAGAGAAAACAAGGAAATTTAGGAGATAAAATCTCTTGCCTTCATGGAGATTCTAATGCAATGGGAGAGAAGAAAAATGTGTTTGAAAGTTAGCAGTAGGCACAGGACAGGTCATGTTAGGCTGTCAATGAGTAGAGCCAACAAGTCAATAAGTAGAGGCTCTTCACAGCGGGCACTAGAAAGCATCTCCCTGCTGATCTGAGTGGCCATGTCCCCATCACTCCAGGTGCTTTTCCCCTTCTATGACCAAAGCTGATTTCAATAACAAGAAGTCTGGTCTGGCC